GGAACTATTTCTCTAGAGGAAGGAGAACTTCTTACAGACCCAGGGGTGCTGCTGGGGCTGGTTCCCAGGTAGTTAAACCAATGTCCCAATTAAAGGAAAACAGACCTCTTTGAGGCCTCCCCACTGATGACTTCCACACCCCAGTTATTAAAATTTGCATTCAAATAAGCAGGTGTTATGAGCCCAGCTTAGCAAGCCTACTGTGAGGCACCTGACTCAGAGGAAACCTGCACATCTGGTCTGTGGCTCCCAGCATCATGGACAAGTCGCTGTGGTGCCAAAACCACTGGGCTTCTGCAGTGGCCAAGCAGGCTGGCTCCAATGTGGGGCTTCTCCTCTACCCGACAGGAGGCCGGGAAAGCAGCAGGCATAACAGCAAAAGCGCTGCATAAGGAGTCCCCAGGCCTGAGTTCTAGTCTGGCTCTTGGTCACTCACTGGCTGTGTGACCCTGGGCAAGTTACCTACCCTCTCTGGCTTTGGTTTCTTTGGGTGTGTAACAAAAAGATAATTCTGTGCTCTGGGCTGCCCTTGCCCTCCCCTCCTCCCCACCAAGTAGAGCAAGCACTGTACCAAAGTGATGGAAAACCACTCTCTCTGGGATTGCTCTAGGACTAATTAATGAGTGCCAGATACCTATTAAGGCCCAATTCAATGGTCATCCATTTAATTAAGTTAAGAGAACTGAATGAAAAAAAAAATCACTCCCTGGAATTCAAATCTCAAGAACTGAGAAGTGAAAACGTCATCTGCATCTTTGGTTTCTTCCTAAACAGTAAGAGCAAACAGGTGTCATCTCATGCATCAACTTTAATTGACCTGGAGTGGTTGGGTTAGGAAAGATGCCAAGTCTGTGTCTACACTCAAAGGAGAAAACAGTATCATGATTGACTGATTAATAAGGTCTGCCATGGGTACAGGATATGAATTATGTATTGTAATTTGGTCACGTATTTTAATTTAGAAAGACAGAGAAAAGCAAAACACCTTCAGAAAGAACCCAGAAAAAATGAGAACGGAACCAAAAGCATTCACTCGGCAAACTGGGCACTGAAATAACTCAGTCTCAGAATGTGACAGGTTCTATGAGACTCAGGAAAGATTTTCTGGATGAGGTGACTGCTAAGCTGATTCCTTAAGGATAAGAGGAACCCAGCCAGGCAAACGGAAGGTGGTGGGCTGGAGAGAAGGGATGCGACAGGCAGAAAGACTGACATGGGTAAGGCTCCAGAGGCAAGTGACTGCCTGGTACCATTTGTGGGGCTGCAAGCCATTCAGAAAGGCTGCAACACAGATTTCAAGGAGGAGTAATAGGGAGCCACTGAGGCTTCTAGGCAGGAGTGACAAGACTAAAGGACAACTAAGTCTCTCCCTCCTTCGATCCCCCTCCCTCCAGCCTCCAATTGTTAATGCTCTAGAAGAGCTGGATAACTGACCTAAAAGACAAGACAGCAGGCCTCACAGAAGTCAGACGCAAGATGATCAATCAGAGATGAGATCCGATTACTGGGTCAAGTTGGAGAAAGAAGATGGACAAAGGTCTGGCCTCTAGGTGGACATAGCAAAACTTGCACAACTTGAGCAATTCAGGCTAGAGATATGGAGGAAGGGCTAGCCCAAGATGTGGGTGCTCTAAGCCACTACTGATCTGCTCCCAGAGAATCGGCGGCATTCATCCAGCCCAACCAACTCTGCCACAAACCACACCCAACAAAGGTTTAAAAAATGAGGCTGCTTTAATAGGCTATAAGCCTTCGCACCCTTCAGCCTAGCAATTTCACTTCTAAAAATTAGAAATAACCAAAGTATGCAAAGAAATACATATAAGGATGTTCGCTATAGCACTGTTTACTAGAGAAAAAAAAAAAATAGAAGCAATGAGCATGTCCAACAGCAGAAGACTGGTTAAATAAATTACAGCCATATTCAAAGAATGGAATTCTAAGCCGCTATAAAAAATGATGACTGACATAAAAAGATGGTCATGCTATACTGTTACGTGGAAAAAGCAGCTTATACATTCTCCCTTAAAGACGGATAAAATGAGTCTGAAAGAAAATACTCTGAAATATCGGCAGAGAGTTTCTCTTTTAAAAGCTCTACCTTAAAAGGTTGTCAGAGGATTAAGTGAATAAATTCACATAGAATACTTAGTATATAGTAAGTGCTCAATAAATGACAGGGAGATTTTTATCATTTCTTCTTGTTCAATTTTGCTTCAAGAAACAGATCTTCCTTGCAAAATTAAATACTTTTTAAAAACACATCTTTCAGCCCTTTGCCATATTTATATCGAGAGCAGTAGTTCTCAACCAGCGGCAATTTTGTTTCCTTACAGATATTTTTGGTTGTCACAACCTGGGGAGAAGAGGTACTACTGGCATCTAGTAGATAGAGGCCAGGGATGCTGCTAAACATCTTACAATGGACAGGACAGCCCCCCACCACAAAGAATGATCCGGTCTCAAATGTCAGCAGTGCCACGGTGGAGAAACTGATTTGAAGGGAACTGCCACTGCAATGCCTTTCAGACTTCTTGCATCCATTATCCCAGACCTTCTCCACTCAAGAGACACACACCCCACCCAGATCACCCAGGTGAGCAGACACTCCCAAGATCAGGACAAAGCCCCTGTGTTAGAGCTGACAGCAGATCTCACTCAACCCCTGAATCTCAGAGAAAAGCCACTGGTGAAAGCATCCTCTTAAAAATTTAAACCCTCAGGAGAAGCTCTCCCCGCCCAGAAGAGCATAATAGTTCAAAATGGAATATCACTTTTTGTAGAGTGCTCAGAATCATCTTCTGTGGGCCAACCCACTGAGGCTTCTGTATAAATGGCACTTCTGTCAACAGATGCAACGCCCCACAGCATGTGGCTTGCAGCAAAGACAAGGGTCCATTGAGATCAGGGAAAGGGAGGAGGGGATACTCTTTAGCCCTAACACCAGATCACTGCTGGCTCCAGGTGCCACCATCCCCTTTCCTCTAAAACCAGCCAGATAATCGCATCGAATGAAGGTGTTCCCAAATGGAGAACCGATGGGCCACCTTGCTGCAGATAGGGGAGGAAAAGGTTATAGAGCTTAACTCAAGGCTTATCCACCTCGGCCCTGCTAACATTTCGGGCTGGATCACTACTTTGTGGCAGGAGATGTTTGCAGCATCCTTGGCCTCTACCCTCTAGATGCCAGCAGCATCTCCCAGCATCTGTACCCCTTGCCCTCTATGGAGAACCACTGGCTTAAACAGATTCTGAATCCTGGTCCAGGGAAAGATGACTGTCCCGCAGTGTTCAGAGAACCAAAGAGGCGGGGGAAACTGTCACAAAAATGAACAACTCCTTAATGCTAAAGCCAGTTAGCTCCCAAACCCCTGCCTGGAAAGTCAGTGTTATCACGACACTGTGATACACACAATAAGAACATTTTGTACATCTTTCGGTACATTAGCAAGTACCGACTGAGCGCCTACTATGTGCCAGGCACTATGGTGGACAAAAACCACCAAGACCTTACTCTCAGGTTGCTTATGCAGGTCTGAGAATCATACCAACTGGTCAACGGCACTTGCTCAAACACTGATTAATCATCTACTACCTGAAGGAACCAAAACTGGATACAGAAACATATAACAACACCGCCCGCCACCTGCCCCAGCTAAGATCAACTTTGACACTAAGGCCGCAGACCTTTACACACAGCACGTCTCCCAGGAGGGGATGTGGAAACTCAAGAGGCGGAAGAGGAGAGCTAGTATACGACTCCAGGTAACCATGACCACCCCAGAGCTCACAGCACCGCAAGAACTACCGCCCGCTACAAGCCCTGATTACCCACTAAGGGTAAAGTGAGTGACTGCCCTGGGAGCCAAATCTCTTCAGTCCAGGTTCTGTCAGTCTGTAGGTTGCAGCTGGACTCTGCCCTGGGGATTGGTATCTTCCTGCAAGGCCACCAAGTGAACCTGCAGGGCAAGGCACAGGGCAAGCCGACATGGAAGAGGAGAGAGAAGAGGGTCAGGTTACATCCTTTACCCAGGACCCAAAAGGCAAAGGGCAGGGGCAGATGATACTGTCTTTAATTTCCCATTTTCCATCCAGGACCTGGGCTGGGCTGAAGGAGGGGAGGAAGGAGGGTCTGACACTGGCTTAGGGACCGTGTTCCCAGTGCTTCTAAGACCTTCCTGGACATGACAAACGGGGGAAGAGTCTTCTTCTTTTAGAGCCCATGCCAAGTACCCTGTGTCTGACATCACCCCACAAAGCAGTCTCCATCCCCAGTCTTGACTCATGTTCTAAAAAGAGGAAAAACTTTAAGTGGCTTCCCCTAGAAAGGGGTCCTAGAGTTTTGTGACTCATTTTCAAAAGTCCCCTCTTCACCCTGTCAGGCTTCCTGCCCTTGGAATAGGGCGGGGCGGGTCCTTAATCTGGAATGGGGTAATTCTGAGGGAAGAAGGGTTCACAGATCCCATGAGTTTGATGCTGGGAGAATTTAAAGAAAAGGTTTATGAAATGAGAGGAGTCATTTTAAGGAGAAGGAGTTGAGAGCCATTCTAAAAGGAAAGAAGGGAATGATAAGGTGAGGGATGAAGGATTTCGGGGAGACGCAGTGGGATGCTTTCCGGGAGGATTGGAGAACTGGGGATTTGGAAGCGTTAAGTGGTGTTTGGGGGAGATGGATGATTGAAGAGCCCAAGGGAGAGGAGGACTGGGAGGGTGCACCTGATGGATATGGTGGAAATGTGAGCTCTGAGGAGATGGAGGGTTGGGGTGTCTGGAGATGAAGGCTGCAGTGTCTGGAAAGAGACTGGGGAATGCGACATGTTGTGGGGGCGGATTTGGAGTGCTTGAAGAGAAAGGAAGTTCTGGGTACCTGGGGCACTAGAATTTAGGATGCCTAGGGGAAGGGCTGTATGGGGATGCTCGGGAGGAGGATTCGCGGGCGTCTGGGAGCGCGCGCTCTGGAGCAGGGCGGCGGGCCGGCGTCCCCCTTCACCCCGTCTTACCGAAGAAGGGCGGCAGGTGGGACACCGCCTCGAGGAAGGGCCCCGTCTCTATCTGCTTGTCTGCAGGGAGCGGCTTCAGCAGGTGCTCGGCCAGCAGCGCCATTTCGGGGTCGAGGCCCGCGGTGATGCCC